ATCCGTGTTGTGGGTTGAGAATGCGTGTCGCAAGTCGCGATGTGCGACGGCAATTGCAATATTTCATAGTTTTGGCTGATCACGTTTCTGTTAAAATGTTTAGAGCACATATAAAGAATGGTAGCTTGTTTTTATTTTAATTTCGGCGGAAGAATGTGGTAACATGTTACCCGACCACCGGACAGGGAAGTTTGAAATTCAACCAGTCCGATACGAAAGTTACCCGTCTCGGGCGTGCGGACGGGCAGGAATTTCCTACACTGGTATATGTATGCCTGAACCATATCCTTGGTAGGTGGGTAGGTTTGATATGCTATGATTCAAGAAGCGAGATGTATTAATTTTGTAATCGTGCAATACAAACATGCCAAAATTTAATAAAATACAGTCTTGGGTCCAGTCTTGTACAACATTATTTTTTTTGCCCAAGGTTTGTGAAGTGATGGGGGGTATAATACCTGACAGGGCTTCCCAGTATAGAGCATTAATGCTCCTACCATATATCCAAAACAATTTTGTGGAAAAAACAGTTAATGAACCAGCTGTGTTGTGCTTACTTACTTATCTTCATAAATTTCACAAATCAAACCCAAAAATTGGTTTCTAATGACATCAATGTGCATTGCACTCATTGATTGGCTGGTTGGTTTCAATTGAACATTGAATTTTTCAAAGAGTGTATTTCTGGTAGTTATTATACACAGTACTGTTAGTAATATGAGGGTATCACGATGATACCGGGTATATGTACGAAGACAGTACAGCGGGAGTATCGACCGACGAACAGCGGAGGTCGATGCAATCACGTAAATTCAAGATATCTAAAATACATATGTTTTTCTAAAAATGACTGGCAAGAGCCTGGGCGCCGCCATTTTGAAAACACCATAGTCGATATAGGCTATATTTGAGCACGATTTAATACTATTAGGGGAGCTTGTGCAAACACTTAATGGTTGTGTCTACCTGCAAAGCATTATATACTCCTTAAGTAAGATCATATTTGACACATTCTTTGCAGGCCATGCTTTTCATGCAGTGTTTTAGTAGGCCTTGAACACCGACAGTCAGATCACGAATTAAACTGCTACGAGGTATCACAATCAATAAAACAATCTAAAAACAAATCAGACGTGCTTACCTTTGTTAGTAACAAAAGCGATCCTCTTCTACGGGAGAAGAATAGGTTTAAGATGCCAAAAATCTACTGAAACTACCTCTGACAAAAATCATAACGGTCACCAAGTAAGCAGTGAGGGCGCTGTTCATTCAAATCACATTTCGTAATATTTTATGTTAATGAGGAGCCGCCTTTTAGACTGTATTAATATCTACATGGTTGTAAATGAATGGACGAATGCAAAACTAAATATAATTCAACGTCACTAACACTATGACACAATAGGAATATATAAATATAACGAAAATATGTTATTGTTCAACAAAAGGATAGTCATTCTCTATAAATTTTTCTGGGTAACAAATGTTAATCAATGTACAATGTGGAAGACCCCTATTCTCTAAGTTGGTGAGATCCCAGAATAAAGTTCTTTTGTACAACAGTGTTGGACACACTCCTAAAATGAGAAAATAACCTCAAAACTACACGTTTTTCGCGCTGTGCATGTTCGACATTTGTGTTGATAAACATTGATTTTTCCACAATCCAATGCACTCTTCAAATGGAAATCACAAGTATGAGGTTTGACCTGGGCGTGACTTGCACTAATTACCGCCGGTGACTCCTTCGATACCTTCCAATCACATGAAAATTACCTAATTACAGCTTGGAAATATGTCAGTTCGTACTCGTTGATCTGCGCAACAGTCAAAGTCGTGCTTTAAACTCAGAAACAACAGTGTGTTGCAAACACTGGGTGATCTCAATAGACTGCAATAACATGAAAGCTCATCACATCTTAAATGCACACATGACAAATTCGAACAATAAAAATTGATGAGAGAAATTTACCTTCCTCTGGTATCCAGTGTATTGGATTTGGGTAAGGTTTAGTCCATCTCTTCAAATCATGCCAGACTTGTGGTATTTTGGTTCCTAAACCAGTCTGGTACCTATGACCAAACTGGTGATAAAAAAAGAAATGTAAAAGACGAAAAATCAACTATTAATGAAAAATGAATTACTACTCTTCAAACATTATTAATATAGTAAGCTATGGACAAAAATCATAATACACAATTTATGAATGAGAACTACACTTACAAAAAAAAGTCTGATGAACTTGATTCAGTTAAATTCATTTGCAGACTCACTTTAATTGTAATTAGGATTTCTAGCGATTTTGTGACCATCACTTGTTACCTATAAAAAGTCTTTTATTAACAATTTGAGGTCCGTGTCGTGGAGGAGGTACGGACCTCCGATTGTTATAGGTAACAAGACTTGTTATAGGTAACAAGTGACTGTGTCATGTGACTTCTTTAATTCATGCATGTTTTTTATTGCATATATCTCACCAGAGGTACACTACTTGGGGTTTGCAACTACAGTGACATGATACCAAGATCCTGTTTCAATCTCACTCTCGCATAAGCGTTGCAACTCAGAAGAATTCGAATGTCCATGCCAGAGGTAATTGGGATACTGGAATGTCCAGGTGGATCAAAATAGCTGCTCATGATATGACGGATTACGATAAAAATATTTTCTGTACATTTTTTCACCATGAATGTGGTAATACATGTTTTATTGTTTTATTACAAACCGCTTGTATCATGTCAGAAGGTCGTAGCATCAGTCTCAATATCTACGAGATGAGACTTGAATGGGATCTTGACATGATGTGACCATACAGCACTATGCGCGTTGCAAACCCCAAGTAATGTACCTCTGCACATACTTATAATTCTTTTTTTGTAATAATAATAATAATAATCATCTTTATTGTTATCGTATCCTCTAATAAAGGTATAGCAATGAAAAAAAAAAATTAAATGAGATTAAAAGAGTATAAAACAAAGGTATTAATAAAATATAATAAATGAAAGTAAATGTTTTTTATTCATTTTGAGGCAGCTGGTAGTACTTTTTTCAGGTTGTTCTCCCTGATTTTAAAACAATCATCTATGTACTTAGCAATTTGAGGAGCTAATTTTTTACTACCATTGTTTAGTATTGCAACTATTTTTTCTTTGTCAGGAAGTTTTGGAGGTAGCATCAAATTTTTGAGAAGCTCATTTCTTTCTTTTTTATAGAGACCGCATTTAAGAAGGAAGTGCTCTTCATTTTCTATTTCGTTTAATTGACAAAACTGACATTTTCTTTTTAAAATGTCAATGTTTTTATGTCTTCCAGTTTCTATTCCTAACACATGAGCACTAATTCTTAGTTTGGACATGGATGACCTGTGGAAGGGATTTTGCACAGTTTCTAAATATTTTTCAAAAGTGAATTTTGTTTTTAGATGTCTGTATGTGCGGAGTTTATTCTGATGTTTTGTTCCCTTATTATCATCATACAATTACATTGAATCTAAACAGTATGTTTGAAGGTTGGCTGCAAGCTTTTCAGAGACTGATTTAGGCAGCTTTTCATCTTTGTAATGGTTTTCTTCCCAAATGTGACTCATGTTTAAATGAGTCAACAGATTCTTTATACCAGATGTCCAATTATAGATGTTTAAATTATCTAAATAAATGCCAAGTCTATAGGCTTCTGAAAGAAGTGTGTTGTTCTTTGTTTGTTTTATTTTACATTTTACATTATATTTAATTTTTTGTTTTATACTAGTAATAGCTAATGGATATCTTCCTAGTTCTAGTAGACAAGCAAGATTGGTAGCTTTGCTGTTTACTCTTAAAAGAGATTTACAGAATTTTACATGCAATTTTTCCATAGGTGTTGTCAAATTAAAGAAATCTTTTGCATGGTTGTTGTAATCAGTTGATTACAAAAGTATAAATAAATACTCTTGACAAGGGTAAAAATATCTTCATATAATATTCCAGATAACATTTGTCAGTGTTTGCATTTACGTATAAAAACAAATATGAGCCGTATTTTAGATGGAAGAAGTGTATATGTCTCACGGTTTCTCGCGCGACTTCAATGTCATCTACAGTGCTTGTCCTGTACACTTATAACTTATCTACCCTGACTGACGTGTATAAAATTGCATCATTAAAAATATTTAAATCCACATTGTATATTACACATTCAAGTGCAATATTTGTTGATTTAACAATCTTCGATATGAATGTAAATAATACTCACTCTTCCAAATCTGTGCACAACTTCTGGTACTTTTTTCGAAGCCATGCTTACTGCATTTGCAGTGCACAGCTGATCTGTACGTTAGTCACGTGACAGAGCTACGTTTCGTTTCGACTCAGATACAAGTCTGAGAATTGGTTCGGATTATTTGAATACTCGTTTGAATCCTTCCGAGTAGAGTCATCAATAAAATCGCCAATTTATATTGAAACTTTGGATATTCGGGTCCTGCTTTGTCGTTCAAAGTTCAAAGTTCAAATGCGAGAAAATGTGAGATTTTGCGAGACTTTCCCTTCTGTGGCGGCGCTATTCACCTATCAACAAAGTGTAAAAATGGCGCTGCACAGTTAGCAACAAGAAATTATCGGTAAGTTGAAGTCGATACAAGGATTTGCCACTGGTTACAAGCGTGCATGCCATGTACTTTAGCGCCATTAAAGTCACTCATTTCCAGATGTCAAGAAATTAACACCTAGGAACATCTAACACAAAGTAACTGCATTCGATTATAAATACACGTCGATCGAAATGCAGCGAGTAAATAAACATATTATATGTAGTGGCAATGACATTCGTGTATTTGAGGAATGTGGCGCAATTTAATCTTTGGACATTTTGCTTAATCTTGGTTAACCCTCAACTACTGATCTTCACTTCACCCATCCCTTCTTTGAAAAGTTCTTCGCTCGTTACTGTATTCTCGATCATTTTGCAGCCGACTAATTATATTGGTGTATTGTGTGAACGCCAGTAATAACATCCAGCCTTTTTGACGATGGCAAAATAAAATATGAATATTATTTATATATATAATATTAAATTAACATGTACTTTTTTTTCATATTAGATAGATTCATATAAATATTGTACATAACAGAATTTCGAAACACAGAAATGGCAGGAAGGTAATAATAATATTAACTTTATTGCATTTTAAGAAATACACAATTTTCTATCAGTATATAACAATGAAATTTATGTAGATCAATTCCTCTGCTCCCAGCTTGAAATCACAAGCTGCATATAATAAAGTTCGTCGGATTACGATAATGGTTCATGTATATCCAGAACATCAAAATAAGACGATATAACTGTGAGACCATGACTCATGCAATACTGGTACTGTAGAATACTTTATTTTTGCTTTGAATTTATCGCTATTTTTGCTGAAGGGAAGATTCCGTGAAAATAAAATCCAGCGAATATACTTTTTTCCCCTATATTTCACATTAAACTCATCAAAAATCAGTGAAAATAAATTCCATACAAAACGCCCAAAAAGCCTTTTCAACGAAAATTAATTCCAGCAAAAATAAAGTATTCCACATTATTATCTCCTTTTGTTTTATTATTTTTTTTGTATGTAAACTTGAAATGTGATTCATGACATTTTGTGGCTTTTCTTTTTATCTAGAGATGTTTTTCCGGCTAACAAACCAGGAATGGGAAATTTCCGATATGGTTTCAGCCATAAGGATGAGATTGCTATTAGACAGGAGATTGACCAGTTGAAACGTGCATCAGAAGAAAAAATGATGGCGATAAAATTGGATAAGAAAAAAATAGTCAGACTGAAAGTGGATGAGGATGATACTATAGCGTAAGTTTTATATGATCAAAATTGAGGGGATAGACTACTGGCGATACACACATGATTCTGTTTTTAAACATGTAGATGTTAAAATGAAGTGATATTCATATGTAAATTGTATATACTCTGTATATATTTGTAAAACACCATACAGAATTATTCAAAAGTGTTACAGACATGTTTGAATTGTGTGTCATGTTTATGCAACATTCAAACACTAGAAGTACTATCTGCATATGATGGAAATAAAATCCTAACACTGAGCGCAAACCTTTGTTGCTATTTCGGGCTGTTATTTCTCATTAAATTATTACTGAAGGCAGTGAAAAGATGTATAATAATCAGGTTATCACGAGAATACTGCAAAGTATACAATCAGGTAGTACAGTAAGTCATCAACCTCCATTACACATTGGTTGATACAGTCACTGTACTGTTTTCATGTACACTTGCGATACTCTCATAAAAAACTCATAATCTGTATTAGAAGCCGCATTTCTAATAATAGAAGCCACACCCATTCTTTTTGAACTATTATTGAATTAAGAACCAAAAATTCATCATTTCTCATGTGTATATGCTTTCATTAAAGCTGCATCCCGTCTCTTGCATTGTACCATTTAAATAGAAGCCACAGCTTCTAATACAGATTATACGGTACATGTATTTGTAATTGAGTGTTCAACTACATTGAGCCAGGAACTTGGTACATCAATATTTTGATCTTTTTTTAAAGGCATACATACATTGGTGGGATTCAAGATAATATTTTTATAGATACGTTTGTCAATTTTTTCAAACTTGCATTGAAGATTTGTATGATAGTTTTACACAGCTGTGTAGCATACTCTTTGCTGTACATGAGTATATTTGGTGTTATTATACATCTGTCACCGTTATGCCTGATTCTTTTCTAAACATTTTAGATTTCAGCATTCCCATGATGTATCCATGGAAGGAAAAGATGTATAATAATAAGGTTATTACGAGAATTCCTCAAAGTATGCACTCAGACAGTACGCCGCGTCGGTCGATACTTCAGCTGTACTGTCTTCGTGCATATTCTCGTAATAACCTCACATTATTTCGATACTGTAATCCTAACAGATATGTGAACACTGCCTTCATAATTTTGTGATCCTTTATAATTATCTTGAGCACCACTAAATCCTTATTTTTGCTTCACCTATTCCTTTATTCTTTGCAGTGATAAAGTTCTGAATGTGTAGGTATATGTAGATAAACACATTTCAATATTAACAGAATTATTACTGTGTTTAATAAATGAATGGAGAAATATACTTTAAACTAATCTCAGAATAAAAGACATTTCACTGTACATATGTACTGTTCACTGGGTTTTTAATATCATTCTATTTCTCTAATTTCTCAAAGAAATGAATCTGTGAATACCTTGATAAAGTTGTATGCAGTCAAACTCATGTGGTACTCAGTGTGTTAAGTCTCTTTATATGCATGAATATTGAAATAGTGAACTTAAACCTAGTGAACATTACCTAGTATGCATTGTTTAACAGACGGGCATTCATATACTGTATTTTCTCAATAAGAACTTTAGAAGTACATCTTCCAGTGTCATTTCATTCCTGTATTAATTGGCTAACATGCATTGTACATTCCTCACTTGAATATCTTATGGAGATGGAAAAGCATGTAAATGCAGTTTAGATAAATGCTCCTTGCTTGTGCACTCAGTGTAGATGCATACACTTTTTAAACAGTATATAGAATTTCTAATTGAGGAAATACAGTTACATGTATACATCATGCATGATTATTTCTAAGGGTTAACTACAGCATTTTAATTGTTTTTTATGACACATAGGAATTATTAATTTGGAGGTATGTTGTGTTCTAATAATAATGTGGCAAAGAGTTAATAAAACTATGGATATAATATTTAGGGTATTATTTTCAATGATTTAATCATTTGAATTTGTGAATATTCAAAACAACATATAAGAGTATATTTTGTTTTGTTATATAACACAGTAATACAGACAATATAGCATAATTTTAAGTTAAAAATATACATGTACGTTAATAAAAAAAATAAAGAATTCAAATAATTGTGATTGCAAACTAAGCAAGTATTTGTATGTTTAAACTTATTGGGTTGAAGGTGATAGATGGTGTATACTCCATGTGGGGGTCAGGAATAAATGGAACATGGTGACTAATATCTGGTACATTTGTAATTTATTGATTGTTAACTACAGTACTATTTTTATTCTATTCAACAGTAAATTATCTCCAGAGTTTGGTAGAAAAAGAATGCCGTATAGGAGAAAACAAGAACCGATATTCCATGAAGACTTGGTCATTGATTCAACTAGGAAAGTACTGGTTGGTGAACTTTCCTTTTTATATACAGTGTATTTATTGGATGCATGATGTCATTTTGCAGTGGAAGTTGTGGAAACCTTATGCCATAAAAGCCATGCTCACGTTACGGGATCTTGGTACCTGCTGAAATTTGTAATCTACATGTGCATGCTGAAATTTGTAATCCTTCTTGTTTGCAAAGGGATTACAGCATTTGGTGCATTCACATTAGTCGAGACCCACTTGGGATCCACGCAGTTTGTCTCAAAACCGTGCTCTTATTCGACGATCTGTTATTTGACCCAAACATGGCAGATGATGTATCTGATGCTATTTGCTGTTATTGCATTTATCATTAACCATCGAGCAAAAAAAAATTCAACTATTCTTTTCATGTTGACATAGCATTGCAAGAAGAACCTGATTGTAGCATAAATACATGTATGTGTCGCCAACAACATTCTGCATTTATTGTGTTCACGACAGGAATTGATATTCATGCCACCTTTATGATTTTTATTGTGTTGGAACAAACACAGAGTAAATGTCTTGGTAGATATTGTAGTTTTACCAACATAGGACAATGGAGCTGTCTTAGCAAACTGCAGGAATCAATATATATTTTCTTAAGTTCACAGCTTAAAGCATGATCTTGGCTAATGCCAAGCATTCAGATAACTGATCTTGGCACATGCTCAGCCGAGATCGTGTTTTTTCTGCAAGTGACGACTTGGTCTTGACTATTCACACACACATTCTGGCTTGTGTTGACCCGGTCCTGATGCTTGGCACATGCTGAGATCTCTAACGTGAACACCACAATTGTTTCTATTGGATGCATCATTGTGCTATGTTATGCAAAGCTTATTTCTGTGTACTATTTGAAGTCATACTTTATTATTTCCATTTATCTATGTTGCTAGGATACCAGCAAAGATGTGTTAACCGTGCCAAACTACAATCCCCTAGACAAATCTGTCATTCCACCATCGACCAGTAAAACCAAGAAGTATCCATTCACTAAAGAGGAACAAGTTACTACACAAGGTTAGTGATCATATCATTGTTACAGTAATGGGAGAGTAGAAATATGAAATGCAAACACTGTTTATTTAATTAATTGTTATGTAATACTAGTACATGTAATAATGGTGATTTAAGCAACAAGTTTTTGTATTATATTCACCATTTAAGAATTCTACTTGTACTATTTATTTCTTCAAAAAAAGATTGCACATTGTAAAATTTTAATTACTGGTATACATCATTTATATTTTTCGTTTCTATGTATGTGGCTAAATGGTATTTCTGATTTGATTCCCCATCTTGTTACAGAGATGCGTAAGCCACATGTGTCAGCTCTGGGTGTACTCCCATCTAGAAGTACAAAAGACATCAAAGGATTGAATGTCATTATGGCTGGTAAACCAGCAGGTGGTAAAGATGATCACAGTATTGCAGCTATTAGAGAGGTATTAACTGCCAAATAATGCTGTACATTTAGTGTAATTAATTATACATGCGATGTACAAATAAATAAATAACTAGCAAAAGTAGTAGATTTTTCAATTTTAGAAAGCATAGTATTCACTGAATATTCAAGTCTGACTTAATCCAGATGAATTTTAACTTTTTGGATTCTGCTTTGGCAAAAAAATAAGATGCTTTTGCTGTAGAATGTATTTATAATCCCCAGATGTGTTTACTCCATTGTATACTACACTAACCAAATCTGGCATGACAAAATTATTCCATTTGAACAGTTTGCGTTTTATTGAACTGATTTAATAGAAAAAAAAATAAAACAAAACTTGAGTAAATGAAATTTTCTCAGATATTTCCCAAATTCAAATTTTTTTTTTAAATGACGAATGTTGGAAGAACAGTTTATTATTTCACCACAAATATAATTTATTATCATTAAGACAAGGGCAATCAGAGAGATATATAAATTTGGTATGTCAGTGTGGTACCATCTGTTTGAATGAGGATGGATTTACATTAAAGATAATCACTTTACATTGCAACTACTTTGAGCATTTTTGTCATGTTGAGTACAGTGTTATTATCGAGAGAGCTGGCTTACATGCTGTAAAGTTATTATGTGCACAGTCCTTACAATCTGCTTCTATTTCAAAAACAGGCAAATACTACTGTGTCTACCAAGGAGAAGTCAAAACTAAACAGAGAACCAAGAAAAGAGACTGAGAAATGTCAAGATACTGCATCACCAAAATCTAAAGTGACAAAACCAGCCATTGTAGGTTCTATTGGTACTCTAGCTCCTGTGTCATTCTCCACCAGAGCTAAGCCTCCCATCAGAACAAGATCAGAGAACATTGACACAGGACCAACCCCTCGTCCTCCTAAAAGTAGAGGTATGATAGTTCTTGTGACTTCTATCAGTAGAATTGATTCAGCTATGTGCATATACATGAGATTGTAAATGACTACATAAGTTGAGTCACTTGGCTACTTGAAGATGTGTGAGATATTTATTTATTTAGATATATGATACTGCCAAATAGAGTCCCTTTTTTGAGTCAAAATTGTCTCACTGGAAGGTTTTTACAATTTCAGTATTTATTATTAAAAAAGATCTATTGAAAATAACCAAAAATCATTTTTAAATCTTCAAATTGTGAAATTCCTGAAAAACCAAGACAGCCAAGTCTGGGGTTTATAATCTAATATGTAATCATTTGACAATAAATTATCAACTTTTAACATTTGTAAAATAAACATTACACCCACAGTAGAACCAGAAGTTTTTGAGAACCAAATGTATAATAGCAAAGAAACGAAATATACTGATCATTATGTTGATATTAATTTGTGTGCTTGGTGTGTGTGATTTTTCCCATACATGTGCAGAACAGTGGACTGATTTCATACTGTCATGTTACTTAATATACCCGGTACCAATAGGAGTACTAATTTTACAGAAGCTACTATATTGACATTCAATGCACTTATCATGGCGTTGATTCGTTTCACAGCAAGTTCAAGAGCAAGCAGTAAAGCAACGAGTAAGAAAAGCAAGAGTGCAGACAGCTCTCGAATGAAGGCAGTAAGAAGCCGAGCATCAGCAAAACGCCGTGCAGCCGACTCTGGTTCCAGTAGTGAGGATAGTAGTGATGATGAAAGACACAGATTGAATGCAAGTGGTGTCAGTTTTAGAGATAAGAGTTTGCCGGCATCAGCGAAATCGGTTGCATCACAGAAGTCAATTTCTGAGTTAGTAGCCGAGGCGGAAGCCATTGCTGCTGGTGGAAAACCAGATAAAGATGGCGAGAAAGGAGTAGACGAGGAGAAAGAAGTGGAGGTGGAGACACCTGTCCCTGTTGAGAGATCTGTGGATGATATTATTGCATCTTTGAAAGCTTCTAGAGGAGGAAAGTAAGTAGGAAGTGTTGTGAAGATATTCATTATATAAAATTATCAGAGATTGATATTAAAACAATTAACTGGTTGTCCAGTGGCACAGTTTTGAAAAATGGTTGTCCAACTGACAAAGAAGTTATCCATTCGAAATTGTAAAAATTTTGTAGCCAGAAAGCTTTTGCTAACAATTCATGATCAATTACTAACACACGAAAATCTCATAAAAAGCAAGATTTGAATGAGATAGCGCCCTCAAAGTTCAATCATGAACACATAGAAAGTGAGATTTGAACCAGATCTTGGTAGTTTCATTGTGGAGTCACTATATTTCACAGATCGTTTTTAGTGACATTCTAATGAAAAACTATTTGGAAGTGTTTTTTTTCAGTGAATATATACCGGTAGGTATTAAATTACGGTACATTGAAACAAAAAAAACATGTATTTTTAGTGTTCATGATTTTATTTTCACAGCTAACTCAATATGTGCAGTGCTCAAAATTGATAGTTGTATTTAGCATGAGACAACCACATGTGAAAATGAGTTGTTCATTTGGACAACCGTGAAAATAAATTGGTATTTTCACTATATGATATGTACATGAGCCAAAAACATAATTCCCTCGGTTTATTTCCGTGGATTTAAAATACTTTGTAATTCATATGATATTGCATGTCTCACTGAGCGTTGTATAATTTGTGAAATCGTTGATACCATTATAATTTCAGTGAATCCATATGCAAATGATAAAATTGTGGTAATCATATCACCAAAAATTATAGTTTAATTATACATTAAATTGTCAATGCAGGTTTTTTTGTGTTAATTAAGTCATTCAGTTTGAACAAATAGGTTATAGGTTTTAGCCACAGTCAGCTGGCGCACGTGTGATAATAAAATAAATGTGATATTTACTACATGGGGCCGCCATCTTGAATGCGGCATAAAACTAAATAAGAGACGTTGGAAACGCGTTTTTCAGATTCCTATAAATCAGGATGAAAATGCCAATATTTTTACAGAAATACATGTAAGATTCGTTGTGGTAATATTAAACCAACCGATAACAAAATCCAGCCGAATTCAACGTTTTTCTGTGGAAACATAGAACACTTTCCCGGGGTATTTAAAACCAAAAATTGTCATTCCAGCTCAGCAGCCAATCAGCGACGGCCTTACAGTTAGATGACAATTTTGGTTTTACCAGTGAGTTAAACTTGCTTTTGGTGTCAGAGACATTACAAAATTATTACTTAATCTTTGCACTTTAAGACTAACTCTAATTTGTTTTTTTTCACAGACGAGAAATGTCAGCAGCTGATATTAAAATTCAACAAATTATGCAGAGTGTGATGGTAAGAGCTAAAGCTGTTTTAGGTGATGATATGGAGGAGGAGGTAGCTGAGGAGGAAGAAGAAGAGGAGTCGGAGGAAAAGAAAGAGGAGGAAGAGGATGGATATGAACAAGCTGATATTGTACCAGGGTTACCTGACATTAGTGTTATTATAGAAGCAGCAGAAGAGGATGAGACTACTGATGACCAAGAGTTGCTAGATGATATAAATGAAAATATAGAGGATGTGAGTATATTTCTCATTTCTGATGTCATAAAAACAAAAGATTATTCAAGTATCACCACTTGGTGGAGACATACTGTAAAAGACTTGAATTCTTCATTAGGTCTTTAATTAGTCCCCGTTCGGACGCAGTCCGAAAACGAGGACTTATGTTTTGACTATGTGTGCGTGCGTCCGGACCTGTATCTTGTTTCTGTATCTGTAAATGCCTAGACCAATTACAATCAAACATGATATTATACATATGCACATGAATTTGTTTCACGATCTGATTCAAGATGGCCGAGTGGCGGCCATTTTTGTTCTAAAAATCATCAAAATCAAGCATTTCTTGGCTGTTTACAGATGGATTTTATTCAAACTTGGTATATACATTGGACATTGTAGGACCTTGATGCACATCATTTTGTTTTCAGATAAGATTCAAAATGGCCGACTGGCAGCCATCTTGTTTTAATAATACATGTAGTGCCATATCTCTGACTTGTTGTGACTGATTATGTTCAAATTTTAAATATTCATTATACATCATGTCATAGATATACAGATATATTGGTTTGACGAGTCTATTAAAAATGGCCAAATGGTGGCCATTTTTGTGCTAAAAAAATCATCAAAATCAAGCATTTTGTTCAAACTTGTGACATACATTAGACATTACAGGTTCCTGATGCATGTTATTTTATTTTTTAGATCGGATTCAGAATGGCTGACTAGTTTTGTTTATATCACTGTTTTCAAAATTTGCTAAAATAAAACCAAGAATATATTTATAAAACTTACTACCAGCACATATACTTCTGATCTATGTAGTAGTGTAGTCTTGAACTCCTGGGAGCACCCAATTTTAAGGTCAACAATTTCAATAATGTCTGATAATATTGTCTTGCTTGTACTAGTTTGAAAGGTACCATATCAGTGCTATGGAGCATCTAAGGTGTTGTTTCTACTATGCCAAGCCCTTTAAGGTAGCGAGACTATTATTTGCATACTTGTTTTCATCTTCTAATTGTGACTAAATGACTACAAATAGACCCGGGAAAGTATATATTTTTAGAATCGTCAGACTTCAAGCTTTTCACAAGTGTATTTTGCATGCCCGTATCTGCATTCTACGACGCGTTACTCAATCAAAGGTGAAAAATTACTTTTTCTGTAAAAAAAATAATTACGCATTTATGCTGGCGATAAGAAGTATTTTTTTCACTTTTCCTAGTTGTTCAATAGTCTGGTAAATTGAATGTGTCTGGTCAGTTTTATTCAAGCAACGCGTTTTAAAAAATAGTGTGCTGAATTTCAATTACTGTTTTAGTCACATTT